CCTGCGCATTCTTCACCGATTCCAATTTCTCCGGCGACGGACCGAAGCAAGTGGTGCAGGCGACGATGTCGAGCAGTCGTCTAATGTGCGCCACTGATGTTCCTTCATTGTAATCCTCTGCAAAAATAAAATAAAAATATATCGCAACGGTCACACAAATTATATAAGCGCACCAAAACTTAATGAAACGACATCGTTTCTATTGACAGTTTAGATTTAACGGCGCGTTAACGGCGTATTGATGCAGTGGAGAATTTTTACCTTCCGTTAACGTCAGAACACATGGTTTAAGCGCCGAAACATCCACTGTGTCTTTTAACCGCGATCCTCTTACCTGCAACGAGATTTTTTTTTGGTCAGCTTGAGTTGACTTTTTTACCACGGTAAATTGTTATTCCCTTTTTTCTTGTCAACATTTCTTTTCCCTTTATAGTATTGTTCATTTTAGTATTTTTTGTAATATAAAACACCTTATTCTGGTAACATATCTAATTGTGGAAAAGTAAAAAAAAAGAAAGTTAGACTAGCAATTCTTTAGGCACAATGACACTAACATTTTCTAAGACATACATCAAAGTCATTTTCCTTTACTTTTTTGCTCACTTTATTTTTCGGATTCCTTAAAATAAAATTCCACAATAATTTGGACCATCCAATATTAACAAGTAACCAACATTAACCAAAAAAACGGAAAAGATAATACAAAATGATTTAGAAATTTCCACTCGAAAGTTTTCACTCAAAATATTTACCTCATGGGATAGAGAGTAATTGGTGATGTGACAAGTATCGAAGTTAACGGATAAAAGCCGTCGAACATCTATGATCCTGTCCGTTGATATTCCCTGTTTTCAGAAATACGTGTTTCCCTATTAATTTCAACATTTGAATCATTTTCTTTTTCTTTTTAATTGACCCAAAAAAAAAAACATTTTCTTTTTCAAATAGTAATAAACATGTGAAACCTATGCCTAAAATACGGCTTAAAATATCACCAATATTATTTCATACAATAAACATATTTCAACATTTATTTGAGTACCAAAATATGAAGAAAAGAAAAAAACAAATAGAAAATACTTGTTTCTATATGAATATTTCACTGTCTATATATAACGTCTACGTAATTTTATTGACCAAAAATATGAGATAATTGAATTATTTAATAATCGAATTTGTGTGTTACACACCGTTTTGTATTTATATACACGTTCAGATAATTATGAAAATTAAAAAGATAACTCCAAGTCAAATTGAAAATGATTTTTTTTTTTATTTAAAAGAAATCAAAACACACAGCATGTATAACTTTCAATTTTCATGGTAACGTGTGTATTCTTCACCTCAACAAAATCCAGC